TTTACAGTAATATAAAGTCTCTTTTTTCATGATTGAAGGAAATCACAAGGTACCGCTTTAACCTATATCAGTTGAGTGTCTCCTTTTTTTTTTAGCGACGTTGATATCTTTAGATCCATAATTCTAGGAATTGTACATATTTGAGCGGAAAGAGCACAACTCACAGAGAATATTTAGTTCATTTCTGGGTGATTGGATTTTTACAGGCGTTTAGTAATCAGATAGGATTATTTACGTCTGGAAACAGATCTTCGACGTCACCATCCAAAAGATGATTTCTAACGCAGTACATTGAACCTTTCGTGAATGAGGACAATTTAATGGTACGTCTGCAATGAAGCTTCCAAATTGTCAACGCGGGATGAAATTTAAGAATGCCATTTTTTAGTACAACTTGGTACATTTTTGTTGAAATTTAATAATTTTCATTTACATTGGTTCATGTCATATACTTTTTTTAATTTTTAGTTATGTCGGGATAGTAGGAGGTAATGGTGAATTTAAATAGAAGAGTGGATTATGTGTGCATTTGGCTGAGTGTCTGTGGAAGTGCTGTTTGCCAAAAGAACTTGAAAGAGTTTGAAAATCTTGAAAGTAGATCAATAAAGTGTGAATACAAAAAGAAGGGTTATGAAAACACGGAGAAATGGAGGGAGGGAGAAAGAGGGGGGGGTGGGGTCACAATTATATACAGAGAGATGTGGAGGGGAGAGAGAGGGTAAGCGAGAGAGAGAGAGGAGGAAAGGGGGAAGAAAGGAATTCGAATGAAAGAGACAGACAAAGGGAGAGAGATAGGGAGAGAGATAGAGATAGAGATAGAGAGAGAGAGAGAGAGAGAGAGAGAGGAGAGAAGGAAGGAGATATAGGAAAACGAGGAAGAAATGGAAAAGGAAGACAGGTGGGGACATATAGAAGGAGAGATATGAGGGAGACAGGCGGAAAGAGATGCAGAAAATATTGTGTTCTAGCAAACTTTTAAGTCTAGTCTTGTTGGTTTTGATCAATAAGTCAGTCATAGAGGGCTGAATAATTGCCAATAAATGTCCCTCATTTCTTCCGACCCCAGTGAATTACGTACTGTCCATTGTTCAAGTCCCTTAGCAAATATTTAGTAAGCTGATGAGTACGGCTTTTTTGTTTGTCTTACGTTGCACGTTCGCCTAAATGTTGATATCACTAGGGCCAAAGTCTGAAATATTGGTTGATATCGTTTGATAATGGTGTCAAAAATCATAAGTAATTATTGAAATGGATATCATTCGGACTTGACGTTCTCTTTCTGTGCTTATTGGTAACATGGCGCGGATATACTCGACTGTAGCTCATAGCGTAGCTCTCCTAATTGTGATATGCTGTATACATCGTATAAAAGGTGATTATGATATTCGATACTTTACATCCCTTTTTATTTATTTTTTGCACATAGGTGTTTATGTCTCAGAATATAACAATGCATCCTATTATTGTAGCGATGTAATGTTCTTTCAAGAAATTAACTCGAGGACGATTTCTATACACTATTTTATTGTCTGTAGAAAAGATTTTGGAAGATGATGTGTTAACATATGGCGCGACACTTGTGGTTGCTTTCACCTATTTTATAACTTTTACTTTATGCTTCTCGTTTATCATAAATCAGTTTCGGTGTAATAGATCTGTGAAATTTTTCTTCTATTTTCATTTTTGTATCAATACGTTTCGACAGCTCAAGTAGCTCGACTTAAGGCCCGGCCGGTTTAAGCATTATAGGATCATTACAAAAACAAACAAACAAACAAACAAACAAACAAGCATACAAACAAACGTATAAAGAAAACAAACATTTGCATTGTGCCCATTGCGCCGGGATTGCGTCAGGAGTATGGTCATCGACGCGCTGTGTTAGAGCCACATCATGCAAAAAGTGAAATTAAATTGAACAATGTAAATCTTGCGTTTAATTTCACGAATTACTGCTTGGATACTTCACAGACTTGATATTAAAGTGCAGATGATAACGGGAATCAAAATAAGGTCTTGTATTTATAGCGGCGTATCCAGGAATAATGGTGCCCGGGGCGCAAATTTAACTGCGCTCTCGCCCAAACTCATTTGCGTACAAGCTATAAAGCAAAGCGGCCGAGCAGTCGATTTTGTTGTTGTCGTTTTTGCATGTCGATTTGTATGTAAGAAATTGTTTATGCATTTTACTCATCTGCTCATAGGAAAAGCTACCAAACAAAACTGCAATCAAGCGACAGACTTATGAAAATTGCTTTATATGCGATTTTCTCTACACTTCTTCCTCAGATGGGGCGCAAAATCAACACAAATTCGGGAGATATATAGTCGTGGAATTGAACAAGTTAACTGAAAGATTTATTACAAATGTGTAACCTCTGTAAATTTCATTTCCCTATTTTATGCAGTATTATGCAGTTATTGACTTTTGTGTAGCACATATGAAATTGTGATATAATGTCTCTATAATCGCTTTAGCTCCGTTCAAGAGAAGCGCTCAGTGCGTTCATGGAATAAAACCTATCAGGTGCTCACTTACTGTGTCGAGTGCTGCAACATAAGGTAAATAGGAGTGGTCGGTCTTCCTCGGCAGAAGAAATACCCGAAGACAAGACTGTCCGTTATCTAATGATAGGGCATGATACAATACAATGTACACTGCGGATCGGAGGCGACAGTTTCCGTTTTCTTATAATCAGACCGCGTAAAGAACAGCTTTTCCTAGATGATCAACGGCATCTGAATTGCGACTTCATTTGTTTGAAAACCTCAGTAGCTGCCTTACGGTAGGCCTTACTAGTGACGATATACACGATGCAGTGCCACCATGTCACACTGCAGGAAATTATAATGTTCATACTAAAAAACGTAGTGCTGGCCTTTATTTCGCTAAAGACTGTTATGATGCTGACAAAAACGGGACACCAACCTATAAAGACAACACAGTTCAACAACAAGAGCGTGATGAAGGAACGCCTGGCGCGAAAACGTCCTCGCAGGGGTTCGTTTCTCTCTTGGCTAGGAGTGACATCTTGCAGTTGTTTATTATGTCCATCTACTTGCCCAGTAGCCCTGGGTACATGCCGTAGACCTATAGCTAACTTTCTAAGCTGCCTTCTAGTGATGATGACGATGTGGATACTTGTGAACAATGTCACTAGAGTTGCTACAGAGCAGTAGAGGAGGAAGAAAGCATGCAAAACTACGGTGCCAGAATTGCCCTCTTGTACACCATCGTTGCACTGAATGTCATACATTTTTCCACTCGCTGTTCCGGGAAACGGAAAAAAGGCAAGGGTTAAGATTAAAATCACAAGCGTGCATATTGTCACAATCACTTTAGCTTTCCTGATCGTCATGAAGGTCTGATACCTTAAGGGTATCACAATCATCAGGTATCGATTGAGGTTCAGGCACGTGGCTAGAAAGACTGCTACAAATGAACAAGGATACGAAAGAGAACCAATATACTTGCAAATGACAAACCGCACGGCCGTTCTTGGTAGAAAATCCTTGAGAGGAAATACAAGAGACATGCATGTACCAAGGAGGAGATAGGTACAGGTCAAAGCATAGAGCAAAACCTTGGTTATATCATCAAAGTCATCTTTCACACGTTTTAAAACGCAAAGGGTGAATAGATTCCCCAGCACACAAAGCGGTGCCTGTGCTATAAGTGCGCCTTGAGACCACGCAATCAACAGAGGAGGATATTGAGTCCCATTTGATTGTGTTGTGGCAAGATCTGATGGAACGTCTTCAGAAATATTGGTAGCCATGGTCGTCAAACGGGATGAGCTATGTTGAGCTAAAGGAATTGTTGGAGTAGGTAAATGATGGTCCTTTTTAGCTCTTAAAACTCGAAATGCTCGTTCGATTGAACCAACAAATGGACACAGAATGCTCTAGTGTATGGCTCATAATCACTCCTAAAATGATTCGTTTTAACGGAGATTCAATGTAAGAGAAACTCGGTCGTCTGCAAGTTGTAACAGAGCGCAAGGCCACTCGATGTATCAGTAAACATCTACCTCTGATTGATGTTTGGAGCCAAAGCCATTATGTATCATCAATTGCATTTTGGTAGAGTTAATTAAACTTGGTCGATCACATCCATAATGATTATGAAAGTGTCGATCATTCTAGCTGACATGGTGTATCCAGCAGCCTTTATTACAAACACGTTCTAAGTTGAATGTGGAACATGTATCGTGTCTTTACTCATGAAAATATGAAAAACGTCTCTTTGTAAAGGAAGCGGGGATTATTCAAAAGAAGTGATATTTGTCCGATCAGTCACTCTTAAATATCTAGGACTTCATAATCCGTCAATTTATCATGGCGTTGGATATGTACAATTAAATTACCTAATGGTGCTTGATATTATCACAAAACGGGTGGCATCTGAGCTAGTAGTATATTTGTTAACGTAACATAGCGTAACATTATTACTATTATATATTTATGGTGCCTATCGAATCGCACCTGAATTCAATTCAAAAATCTCAACTTGGACTATCACACACATTTTCCCCGTAAATCATGGGCAACTTAAAGTGGAAATTCAAAGAAAATCACAAATTTGTCAACTAATGTATCACTTGGAACTGGTAAGCTATTAACAGATGGCCATCGTACAAGTCTTAGGTCAACTACATATCGGGTGATTTATAAACATACAAATAAATAGCATCTGGGATATACAAGAGATTCGCTAGAAAAATAACGATGTTTTAATGACGTCACATAATGGACTAATACTGCCCAAGCAAACGACATCCCACAAAGAATGAACATAATATTGCAAAGCTATTATTTCTCAAATTATAAGGGGTTGAGTGTGTATAATGTGATGGCATTTCAAACCATTCAAAAGGGGATATGAAACCGGTTCTGATAACTAAAATCTTTTGTTTGTAAATACACAGGATAGGGGTTAATTAACAATCAAAGTAATGTCTGTATGAAACTGCCTCGTTTATTCTCTCATATCCAGCGCAATGTGACAGGCCTACTTTGGCGGATAATTCCGTGTTCATCACACCTAGTCAGGGAACTTACGATGTCGGATCTGTAGTCACCTTCTCGTGTTTCGACGGCGACGACGTCTACGGACCGACATCGTCATCATGCCAGAACGATGGGACATGGAATTTAACGAGCGAACCTTTATGCATATGTAAGTTTTATTCGCGCCCCCCCCCCCCACTCCGGGGTCGAAGGGACCGCATGCGTGTTCCCAAAATGTCCGGTAAAGGGGTATATTTCACGCACCGACGTCCGGCTCGTAGTACTCAAAAATCCGGCCCGTATTGACTTTACACAACGGACTTAGGGGGTGATTTCAAAAGGAGGGAACATGCATACGCGTACCCTAAATGACACTGAGTGTGTATGTGTGTGTGTGGGGGGGGGGGGTGTTGGCCCCATCTATGGAACAACTCAAAAGAGTCTATTAAGATATACCCTTCACTCCATACATCCATTCGTACCATAACAATATATTTTGATAGTGAGGTGACGGAATATCGTCATATTCATATAATGTATATTGTTATTTTAGAAAGGTTAAATCACTTGTTGATGTATGCAAATGGACCTGTTATATATTCAAATTATCTATGGTTCTTTCCCGAACACCTGGTACCAACTATTAGATTTTGGATCGCCATCCCATGATGTCTCTTAAGGCCCGGTCACACAGCCTTTCGCGTCTGTATCGCGGGTAAAATTTCGCGATTTTTTTTTGCCCGCGGTTGCCCGTGGTGGAAAATGTGCAAAATTGGCTTACCCGCGGTTTACCCGTGGTATGCCCGCGGAACAGACGCCGGCGACTGTTCCGCGTCCTTATCGCGGGTGAAGCGCGGCGGTACCGCGGCCTACCACGCTTACACGCGGTACACACGCTAATGCACGTGATAACAACGCGGTACAGACGCGGAACAAACGTGCTATGACCGTGTTCCACCCGCGATTACCCGCTAAAATTTCGCGTCCAATTCCGCGTGTAACCACGTCTTAACCGCGGCCGTAGCACGTCCTAGCACGTTCGTTCCGCGTCTGTACCGCGTCTTTACCGCGTTTGTACCACGTGTACCGCCCGCGATTACCCGCGGTCTAAATTTTTGGGCAGCCCAAAACTTTTTCGCGCGGCCAACCGCGTGTGAATTTCTTACCGCGTGTAACGACGGGTAAAGTACGGCTGTATCGCGTCTTTATCGCGACCTCAACGCGTCCAACAGCGTCTGCTTCACGGGCAGAAATTTTTGGCCGTGATTCGGCCGCGATGCGCCCGTGGAGGGCTGTGTGACCGGGCCTTAACAGCTATGACGGGCTGTACAGGCCATTATTCTGAACGACTATGGCTGTATATACAGTAGGCTTGCGAGTGTATCATGTGAGAGAGAGGGAGGATTGAGGAGTCCTGAAAAGGACTCTCGGTATGGCTGTATGGCTGTATAGTTGTACATAATAATGGCCTTTACAGCTCGTCATAGACATATACAAGGGGCCTAGTTTAAAAACTCTTGTGTCAAATGCTGCACGGCTAGTTTGCAGCGACTAACCCATGTCGGGCGAAGTGCGTACCACAGTGTCTGAACTAAGAGACTATGCCGACTGCACGGTTTAATACACCCCATACGCTTCGCACCTTATCTGTTCATGATACAGCCAGAGACTGACAAAGCTAGGCTTAACTCCAGACCTTATTGAATTGTGTTTGAGTGTCAAATTAGAGTATATACCAATACGACTAGCCCTGCTTCACGTGTTAATGATTATTAGAATAATGATTATTAGAATAATGATTATTAAAATAATTCATATATTCTTTTTTTAGATTGCGAGAGGCCGATCGTCTCGAATCCTTATGCGATAATGCTTTCGCCTGACCAGGAAGCGTACATGCGGTATGACAGTTTAGACATCAGTTGTGAAGAAGACCACACCTCATCCACTTTGCCTCGGAACTTTGATTGCCAATATAATGAAATTTGGTACCCCGACCCTTCCAATTATCTGTGTTTTGGTAAAAAATGTTCATTTCTAATTATAATAACAAAAATAATGGTAATAATATTAATAATAATAATGATAATAGTAATGATAATAAAAATACTACTACTAATAATACTAATATTTTAATCATTATTATTATTAATATCTATTAATCTCTATCACTTCGATGACGATGATTATGATGATGATAACATTATGACAATAAATGATGAAATAATGATATGATATCATTAAAAACAGTATAGTATAGTATAGGCATAATGCTTGTCCGACTAGCAAAAACTAATATATGCAAATTGCATTGAGATACAAAAGCAGGCAACACGAATCAACACCAGAATGTAAACGCTCGTCGCTATTCAAACAATTTGGAAATGATTGATCTGTTAATGCAGTCTGTATTTATAACATAGTAGCATAATACAGCTTCAGCTTAATAAGTGAGCAAATTATCTACATCTAATTTCCGCCATATATTTATGTTTCTATTATGTTTTTATGCCATGCCCTGCTTTGGCAAATCTGTTATTCTAGGCCATATAATATATGTGATATAGATCTGTGCAATTGTGATCTATTTGTACCACTGTCTATTTTGATTATGAAATATATATACCATACAGCACAATGTGACACGACGAAATTACTCGACAATGACGTCATAGCCGAGAAGCCGAACAATGGCGGGCCACAAACCGTGTTCAACCACGGAGATTCCGCCATCTTTAATTGCCAAGGCGGAAGTCGATTCACAGGACAGAACACGGCTACGTGCGTCAATGGATCGTTTGACTTTGATACGAAACCAGAATGTTTGGGTAATGTATTACGAACATAGGCGTATGAGGCGGGATGGGGGGGGGGGGAGTTGACGTGGCTACGCCCCCCCCCCCTCCCTACACACGGATTTTTAAAGTTCCGATATCGGGAAACCACCATCTCGTAATGTTCCAATGGTTTCTTTTAATTGATTGATTCATTTGATTTGTTTTCTTCTCTTAATTCTTTTCCAAAACGATAAACTAATTAAAACATAATAAATAAACCATGCAAATAAAACATCATCAAATTAGAAGAACGTAAGCTAGGCTTGAGGGTGTGGAATCCTTTATAAAACTTACTAATCGCTGTATACAAAACAGGGATATTGGGGTGAAAATACCTTCTGTTTATATACCCACGCAAAAAACAAAAAAACAGATGGGGGTAAAATGAGATGTATGAGAAGATGACAGAAGGAGATGGTAAGAGTGTTTATAATTCCAGCTATTGCCCTCAGTGATGTACTAACACTCTTTGGGTGGATGAAGCCCTGCCCCCCCCCCCCCCCCCTCTCCAATCAGCCCCCTATTCTAAAAAAATCCGATATTCAGGCAACCGTCACCTCAACTCCGGGAAGCGAGGTCCCCAAGTATCCTCTTTGTTGAGCAGCGAGGTGTTCAAAAATCCAAGTATAGTTGGGGAGCAAGGTGCCCCAAATCATCGGGCCAGCGATGTGCCTGAATTTCTATATTCGAGCAGGAGGTGGCATAATATACAATATCTGTAATTTCCCTGGAAAAAAGTGTCAAAATTGCCCACAGGAGTGGGTGCAAGCTTGCCAATGTAAGTGTATTGAATTATACCGCAAAGTTGTCAACATTGTGTGAGTCCCTTGTATCGTTTGCATTACATAACATTAAACATAGTTTTCCTTGCTTGGAGGCTTTTTGCAACACCATGTGGTAGCCTTACTGAAAAAAGGCTGTCGATATAATTCTTTCGTCAAAAGAACCCGCTTATGGGGCGTTTAGAGGAATTGTGAATAATAAAGGAAAGAGGAAAAGGAAAGGAAAGGGATGATAATCATTCTTTTATCAAACACTAAAGAAACTATAAAGTAAGTTGAAATGGAAGGAAGATGGAATAGGAAAGAAATAGTTATTGAGATCGAGAAGGTTCTGAGCAAACCCTTTCCTCTTTCTATTTCACCTAATATTTTGATGTGCAAACACCGAGAAAACAAATAGTCACGTAGAAGCTTTTACTAAAACTTTTCCCCATCATCATCTCTTTTTGTCTTTCCATATCCTTTACTTTTTCTTAATTACTATAACGCTCCATAAGCGGGTTCTTTTTATGAAAGAATATATGAACATCCTTTTCAGTTAGGCTTCCACAAAGTGTTACCGAAAGCCTCCAATCGTGAATATTCACTTACCATGGAAACCTATAGAGAACATATAACTGAAAATATTTCTCCCCCAGACCCATGCCCCATATCACAGCAAAATCTAGACAAGGATCTTTCTTACTCCATCGTCGAAGACCCCGTCATCAACGAAACACAAACATTGTACTACAGAGATGGTGTCTCGATCATGTTTTCGTGCAGAGATGGAAACATACCCGAGCATTGCCAAGGCGTTTGCCATGATGGATCGTGGGATCCAGGGGATTTCCCATCATGCATTGCCTTAGGTGAGTTATACTCATAACAATAACATTGATGATGATAATAGTGATGACAATTATAGTAATGGTAATAATAATGATAATTTCAACGATGATAATAATGATAATATCAACGATGATGATAATAATAATGATAAAAATAAAAATGATGACGATAATGATACTGATAATCCTTAACAATGATAATAATAATTAAAAAAACCACAACAACGACAACAATAATAATAACAATAAAAAGAACAACAACAACTTTGAAAGTACTGAAGTGATTTTTACTATCATAAATAGAAGGTAAACTTACTACTGGAGCTGTAGTCGGTATAGCCATCCTCACGATCCTCTTGGTTGCGTCCATCATCATCATTGTCGGATTATTAATCTTCCTCGAGAGAGCTAGATCTAAAGGTTTGTTCTTTCTATCATTATTGGATAATACATGTTCATGGCCGTCAGGGGTGGATTGAGGGTGATCGGAAGGTGGGGGGGGGGGTGATGAAAGTCTAAACAGTGCTGACGAGTTAGCAAACGAAACAAAAATGAAAATGTTAGGTACGTATGATAATAATTTTGATTTGTGAAGCATTTAATATGGAGTGCCGTATCTATGCGCTTTACAGATATTGTTATTAACCCAGTCATGGGATGCATTCACGCACAATGTGCACCATCTTTACTCCATGGGTAGTATTCCTACCATATGGATACCGTGAGGGCAACTGGCAATTTCTATCACAAAGGCTCTCGTTATCCTACCGGGTCCCCATTTCTCTCCTTGGTATGGAGTGGCAAATGTAGATTAATGTCTTGCCAAAGGACTTTAGTACCATGTCGGGGATCGAACCCAAGACATTTGCATTATTAAACAGCCAAGTGCTTAAACAACTCTACGACGACACTTTTACACCATGACACCTCTATCAAAGGGGAAGGGGAAGACATACTTACATGTTCAGAAACGTTATGACTCTTTACAAACTTGTTGATAAGCAATTTAACAAAAATGAACGAATGAATGAATAGATAAATTAATTAACGAAGAAAAAAGAAAGAAGATGTCCAAAGTTAGAGGAGAAACTTATGTAATGAGTAAAATCTGTAGGATATAATTCCTTTATCAATCCGAGGGTAGATCTAGTCACTCCAATACGTAATTACATTGTTATATATATATATATGCATACATACAAAAGGAGTTGTGTGGAATGTTATTTGATTTATAGTGATACAGAGCTCCTTTACCCATAACCATTTCTTTTTCTTTCATATATCTGTTCGCACGTAGACGCAGACACGGAACCATTCAGGTACGGTATCATTGATAACACGAAGATTTATATATATATATATATATATATATATATATATAATATATTTAGTTTGGGCTCCAACACAACATTCTAAAGCCTTATATTATTGAATAGATCATAACCATAGTATAATAAAATATGAGACAAGGGGTAAGTACACAGATTTACATGTATGAGAAACCTGTGGGGTGTTTCATAAAGATCCTAAATTGAACTTATCTCTAAGTTGGACTTAACAGTTATGGAAAGCCGTTAGCACCATTGAAAATAATTTATAAAAATATTTTAAAAGCCATAAAACGTTGATTAAAATCGTTCATATTTTCTATTATCAAGGAGATTTCATGTTCCTGATGTGAAATTTATAAAAATTATAAAATACTTAAATTTCTACTTTTAAATATATTTTTATATAAGGCTACAAATGGCTCCAACTTAAAAATAAGTTCAAATTAGGATCTTTGTGAAACACCCCCTGGTTATTTACACATTCTGTTTTCTAAACCAAATATATTTTACTCATTTTCGTACCATTTAGATAGCTTACTGCTCTATGTATTGGAACTAATATCACCTCTTTCCCAATGAAAAATAAAATATAAATATATGTTTATGAATACAAGTATAGGTATAAAATAAAATATTAAGTATAAAATAAGAATAATGAAGCTGCTTATAAGTATCGGCTTGCATGGTGATGTAGATATACAGTAGGCTTGCGGGTGCACCATGTGAGAGAAGGGGAGGATTGAGGAGATGTATAATCCCGCCACCCATCCTCTCCAAGCGCTATAGTTCTCCTTAGAACTGTAAGCTAAGAAAGATAACCAACAGTCTTTTTCATGACTACACCAACAGTTCTTTTCAGGACTACAAACCCTGAAAAACGATTACCGAGAGTCCTTTTCAGGACTCCTCAATCCTCCCTCTCTCTCACACACATGGTGCACCCGCAAGCCTAATGTATAAGAATAATGAAGTTTATCAGAATGATTTTTCTTCGTCCAAATGACACTGCTGCTATGTACGACATGATATGTACTATTCGAATAAAAGACACTACTTCAGATCTTGATATGTGATGTAGAATAGATTATATTCAGGTGATTTATTTTCTGCTCTCGTTGATACAACTATTTGATTAACTGTTACTATTCACTAGAAGTTTATAGAAATGATACAAAGTTGTATGAATAAACTAGAACGTCCCTGCATGACTATATGCTGTCTGAAATGAAATTAATTTTCAGGACTCCTCAAACCTCTCTCTCTCTCTCTCTCTCTCTCACACATGGTGCACCCGCAAACCTACTGTATATGAAATTAATTGTCTTTATATTAATGAATGAATGAGTGAATCAATCAATCAATCAATCAATCAATATCACGTATACACAATTCGTCATGTTTCTTTCCAGTTACAAGTTCAACAAGAACGGCAGTGTGGAACACGTCATGAACAACAATGGTCACAATAACGAAAGACGTGAGTTTCTTTTCATATACGGATATGTCCTTGTCTATTTTGTTTTATTACTTACTATTTCTTTTACCCCATTCACAGTGGTTTTGAAATTTGTAGCGGCGTTGTAGCGGAGCGGCGACACCGCCATAACACCGCTACAAATGCATTCACAGTAGAAAAGTTATCCCGCTGCAGCAGCGGGATAAATATCATGTACCCATTCACGCTGCAGCGGGTGATTTTTATTACCTCCGTAACAAACACGTGTATGCATGGCTCATGACCCGCGAGTGACCCCGATATGACCGGAAATACTTCAGCGTGTATCCTCGATCATATTACTTTTTAAAAAACTAGCATTTTTATTGCTTCCAGTCAGAATATTTTAATTTTTTGAAGTGTGAAATATTTTTATTTGGATAATTATAATATCTACATAATAATAAAATCTATTTGAATCTACTGGTTACTTTATTTCTATTTCACTTTATGTTCCCCATTGCTGGAGAAAAGAGGTCAGTGATAGGTAAGTAAACAAATCACACGTGTTTGTCGCGGTGTTATAGCGGAGAGCCTTCACACTGAGTAAACACCGCGACAACAGCGGGACTGTCCCGCTGCTGTAGCTAGGCGAACCTAGCGATAGTTTGTCGCGGCGTTATCGCGAGGCGGTGTTATCCCGCGATAGTTTATAACGGGTCCGAGCCTTCACACTGAAGACAACACCGCGACAACAGCGGGACAGTCCCGCTGCTGTCGCGGTGTTTGAGGCCACTGTGAATGGGGTATTATACTACTATCCTCTCCCTCATGTGACCCTCCTCTCCGCTGTCTCCATCTTCATTTACGTTAATCTCTACTTCATTTCTTTCTTAGTTGTCACCCTCTCCTCTTCCTCGTCACCCCATTCTTCTCGACACCTCTTCTTTGTCATCTTCATCTTCTTCGTCACCCTCTCATTCGTCAATCTCTTGTTTGTCACCCTCCTCTTCGTAGTCTCCCTCTTCTTCGTCACGCTCTTCTTCGGCTCCCTTTTCTTCGTCACCCTCTTCTTTGTCTTCCCCATCTTCTTCGTCACCCTCTCCTTCGTCAATCTCGTGTTTGTCACCCTTCTCTTCTTTGTCTCCCTCTTCTTCGTCAACCTCTTCTTTGATATCTTCATCTTCTTCATCACCTTCTCTTTTTCTTCGTCACCCTCTCTTCACCTCGCCACCCTCTCTTTTTCACCATCCTCTTCCTCATCGTCACATACTTCTTCTTGTTCACCCTACTCCTTGGTCATCATTTCCTTCATCACCATATTCTTCGTAATCTTCTTCTCCATCGTCACCTTTTCTCCTTTGTAACCCTTTTCTCCTTTTTCTTATTCGTCAACTTTTTTCACCTCGTCACCCTTTTCTTCTTTTTCACCCTTCTCCTTTGTCACCTTTTCGTCACCCTTTTCTTCGGCACCCTATTTTTTCGTCATCCTTTACTCCTTCATTAGAATTTTTCTCCTTCGTCACGCTCTTCTCCGTCACCATCTTCTTCGTCACCCTTTTCTTAGTCACTCTCTTCTTCTTCACCACCCTCTTCATCTTTGTCGTCACCCTCTGTTCTTTGACACGCTCATCTTTTTCGATATTCTCATCTCCTTCGTCACACTCTTCTTTCGTCACTCTCTTCTTCTTTGTCAACCTTTTTCACCTCGTCACCTTGTATTCTTTACCACCCTCTTCCTCATCGTCGCCCTTTTTTTCACTTTTTTCCTTGGTTATCTTGTCCTTCCTCACCATATTTTTTGTAACCCTCTTCTCCAACGTCACCCTTTTCTCCTTCGTATACCTTTTTGTTCTTTTTTTTTCTTCGTCATCTTCGTTCACCTCATCACCTTCTTCTTCTTTTTCCCCCTTCTCCTTTGTCATCTTCTTCGTCACCTTTTCCTTTGTCACCATATTTTTTTTTGTCGCCCTTTTTTTCTTTATTACAATTGTCTCCTTAGTCACGCTTTAATTCGTCTCCCTCTTCTTTGTCACCCTCTTCTTCGTCAGCCTCCTCTTCTTCGTCACCCTCTTCTCCGTCAGCCTCTTCTCCTTCGCCTCCCTCTTCTGTGTCACCCTTTTCTTAGTCACTCTCTTCTTTGCCAACCTCTTCTTCTTCTTCGTCACCCTCTTCGTTTAAGATATCCCCTCTTCCTCCTTATCGTACGTTCTTCTTCCTCTACTTATCTCTCCTCTCGTACTCTTTCTTCTTCTTCCTATCCTTCTTCTTCTGTATCGTCCCCACTTCATTTTTTTCATACATAAAATATCTCTTCGTTCTTATTACGCGATCCTTACATTTAAAAAAGTTTTGTTTGGGGGAGGGGCTTAGGACCAAAAAGTCCATTTATTCTCTGTTTTATATGCGTACAACCAATACACATGCAAAATATTTAGCCATCACTGAACTTTCTTTTCAGTTTACGCCTCACTCAGGTTCGGACCAGCCAAATCCAGTTTCCCCGCCAGTGCTCGAAAAAGGGTGACGTTTCTGACCAAATTAGGCTCCCTCGGACTAGGTGATTTCGGAGAGGCATGGAAGGGCGAATTCCGTTCTACGCAAGAGACAGTTCTTATCAGACGTGTTCCAGGTATAACACGATTGCAATTTTGTTTAGATAGATGTTCTTTGATTGGTTTCCTATTGATATGCTATTGAAAATATACTGTGTAAGAGGCTACTGTAAAGGAACGTGTGCTTTTAGCCTAGCGGCAATGTCCATGGTACTTTCAGTACTTTCAATACTGAAAGTAAATACCTGATTGATACACGTCTTTAAAAAAAAACACTCAGACGTGTTCAGACCGACAGCCCATGAGACAGACAAAACAGAGAAATGATTAAGAGAAGATAATTATGGAAGGGTAGAAGATTCCATAAGACCGACAGCAAATTTGTTTAAAATTTTGATTTTGATTTGTGCAGTTCGCTCATACTACGTTATAAAGTATGTTCCATTTCTGCCATCGTCCTAAAGGAAATGTTAACTAGTTGCTTGAAAATACTCGTTTCTACAATCACTATTTATGCTAGTAAAAAAAAAACCTTTGCAGATGATGCTGTAAGAGCAAAGGACATACTTGCCAGAGTAAAGGCATTCTCCCAGCTTACAGATCATCCAAACATCGTGAAGTGCTTCGGATACCACCAAGACCAAAGTAAGATATAAATAAGTATATACTGATTGTGGGATAGGTCAATCAAAGGATGTGATAGAGAGAGAGAGAGAGAGAGAGAGAGAGAGAGAGAGAAAGGGGCGGAGGGAGGCAGTGAGGGAGGGGGTAGAGATGGAAGGGAGTGGTGGGGGAGGGGAACAGAAGGAAAATGATAGAGAGAGGGAATTAGAAAGAAATACATGGAAGGGGGCAGAGTGATACGAGGGAAGGATAAAGATAATCAAAAGACAGTACCTGGTATTAATTTAATTATGAAAGAAGACAAATAATTAATAGAGATAATTAGTGTTTGTATGTGCGTGTGTGTGTATGTACGACAGAGAGAGAGAGAGAGAGAAAGAGAGATAGGGGGAGGGCGTGTATAAGAAACAGAGAAAGACAGGGAGGGGAACATCAGTAATGACGGTGATGCAGGACTTTGCATCTTGTAATCAACAAACCACTAACTAACATCATTTTTTTTTAATAAATCTCTTTCGTTATGATATCTCAAAGAAATTCAGCCTAATAATGTAGGGTCTTACACGCTTATCTTTAAAGTGTCAATAATAATGATAACGTATACCTGAGTCACATTGCCAAACACACATCACATGCACTTCGAACTACCGATTCTTCGTCATTCAGTGTATACATTTTTGTTCAGTATGTGATCAGTCTCGTTTAGTACCGGTCGTAGGTTTCGTTTGTGTGACCGTGGAACCAGCTACGTAGCTATGTCTTATCTGCTCATAGTAATGCTCTATGCTTTCCTTAGCATAAGTCCAAAGTTTATTGACTTGTATTTATGTACCCTTCGTTGAATATTGATTAATCATTTACATTCCAAGACTCATATTTATTTTAAACTAGTCTTGTCCGTTCCCTCAGCCTAGTTAAAATGTGTATAATTTATTTTTACCCTTTGGAGTCTACAACCAGCAGGCTATGCTTTCCACCTTTAACAGGCTCCCGTATATATTTATTTCCAAATATCCTTAATTTACAGGTAACTACAAGTAAACCAAATGTATTGAATATGTGTTTTGTAGTGCTTCTTGTAAGTAGAGCAGACGATGTGTATCGTGAAATATGAAATACGAAATAAACTGGAGTAAAATAATTATAAAAAGATCAATTTCCATTCCCGATATTCCACCCAATACCATCTTGTAGATATCATCTTATACAAGTTCATTTCTGGCGGAACGTTGCTTACCCATCTCCAAATGAAAAGGGGGCAAGCCCAACCCACATACATGGCATATAACACCACCAAGCCACAGCGAGCTCCTGTGGATGAAGTGGGCTTAATCAATTTCGCTCTGCAGATTGCAAAAGGGATGCAGTTCCTCGCATCCGAGAAGGTATAATGATAATATTGATGATGATGATGATGATGATGATGATGATAATAATTATAATAATGATGATGATAATAATCATAATGATAAAAATAATGATAACAATAATGATAATAATGATAATAATAATGATAATAATTATGATAATAGTAATAAAAATGAAAGTATCAATGATGATAATAATAATGATAATAATGATAACAATGATAACATTGATTTTGGTAATTATAATAATAGTAATTATAATTTTAATCATGAAAATGATAATCCAGGAAAATATTTGGCGTGCACTTACAATCCGATCTCAAGTGGGACAAACAAGTTGGTGAGATGGTATCAAGAGCTGGAAAGAGAGTACTAATATGATGATTCGTCTTCGCAAGGCATCTGTCCCAAGATGTGACTTAGTCAACATATACTCAATTTATATATTTCCTCTTTTGGAATATTCATCTCCCCTTTGGTCTCCTAGCATCACAACAAGTCAGCATACAATGACATTGAGAAATTCCAGAAACGTGTTTGTCGAATCATTATGAATGACCAGTATGTCTATTATGGCCATGCTCTAGAGCAACTCTCCTTCTGCCGTATGTCGAAGCGGCATCATCAACTACTGGTTTCCTTTGCTCGTAGACTGCTTCTGTTTTAGCAATCCAAAATGCCGTAACATCTTATTCCCCCTACCCACCCTACCCACCCCCCCCCCCTCTTTCTCTCTCTCTCTCTCTCTCTCTGGCTCCCGGTCTTTTTCCTGTCCCCTCTCTTTTTCTTTCTTCATTTTCCCAGATCATACACGGGGCTCTCTGCGCACATAATGTGCTGTTGGATGAACAGAACATGTGCAAAGTGTCGGACTATGGGATGGCCCAAACAATGTTTGACAAAAGAATCGTGAGTATACAATCCTATTTCTCCAAGTTATCCCTCTGTCTATGTCACATCCAATTTCTTACACTCCCCTTTCTCTCGTTCCCCCCCCCCCCTAAAAATAGTAATTACAAATAAGGTGACAAATTCACTAGACCCCGACACGTCTGCGATTTGCTATCTTGATTTCTAATAACTGCCATATTTAATTTTTTTAATATATATATATATATATATATAACATATACATCGCTCTCAAATATGTTGCTTTTTTCTCGTATTTAAATCGGTTTGTTCTTCAATTGAAAGAGGAAATAAACACTCCCGAAAATGTTTGAGCTGGATAAATATTCATTCATTGGGCCGGTGTTTGTACATATGAATATATATATAATTCTTTGTTTCAGAGGCCAAGCAGATGGAATTCTCCGGAGACCACGTTAGACGGAGTCTTTTCTTCAGAGGCGGATGTTTGGTCATTTGGAATCGTTCTTTGGGAAATCATGTCTTTAGGTACATAATTTTGCAAACGATTTATAAGCAACTTCGGAGATACTATCTGTGCATGGGCATAACAAATATATAGCTCATCTGTACCCAATTGTCACTATGAACATGACGGACAAAGAAAGCGAACAAAATAAACAGTTCCTCAGGTAGACAAAGGAACATCTCTTCACTGCTATTATGTCAAAATGTGTAGAACAGGTGAATATGCATGTGACATCTATTCTACACATTTTTACGTAATAGCAGTGAAGGGATGTTCCTTTGTCTACCTGGGGAACTGTATGTTTTGTCCGCATTCTTTGTCCGTCATGTTCATTGTGTGTAAAACCCATCGAGACAACTGCTGTATACGTGTTCATGACAGTTTTGTAATCATTATTCATTTATGCTTCAGTGGTACAGGTGGAAGTGTTCTTTTCAAGATGTCTAACAAAACGTATTCATGAAGCGTCTTCATGACTTTGGTAGTGATTATTGTAAAATGCACAGACTGGAACTTCTCCATGTGTAAGAGATATGTGGATATTTGGGGTCATTTGTACAACTGCTTTCTCCTAAGGGGCTTATTCCTGGTGAAAATGGGGAAGAAATGCTTAAAAGAGAGTTTAAAACTTAGAAATACACGCCGTAGCCGTTAATTCAAAGATTTTGGCACATTCTTTTTAACCCATCTTGAGGAGAATTCTCATGTTGTTAGATTCTTGTCCATCAAAGCAACATGTGCCATCATGTACCAACTGCATGGAGCGGAGTTGGCCAAACTCTGTGTGTAAACGGCTATGATAAAAGCATCTTTGTAGGCTGTAACCGTTCACGAATTGAAATTCAATGAAAATTCAAATTGGTTAGAGGCATTGATATTGAGGAACTTGGTGTCAAATGGATTTAATCATTTCATACCAATAACCATACTATCAATGATTATTATAAAACAATAGGATTGTAGTAAAATTCACGACTTTATTGTTGGTAAAATTCATGGTTATAAATATTGATTTCTTTTTTTTGGAAGGTGGCAGGCCCTATCCTGATTTAGAACTGGATGATATAGGCAAGGAGATCGCTAACGGGTACAAGATGCCCCGTCCCCCACACTGCAAAAATGAGTTGTGAGTTTTGCTCTCTTTTTTTTTTGTTTTTTTTGTTTCTTGGGTTAATGTTGTTGGTGATCACATATTGTGGTAAACGGAGAAAGACGATTTATTATTGTGTGTGGAGATGTCGTATTATAGTCGTTTGTTAGCTTTAACCAGAATCCGACGGTTGAGGGTTCTAATCCCAGTCCTGCACTAATGTCCTTTAATTGGCACAGGTCACATTGACACCATACCCCTACGCCCTACCAAAAAGTGAAGGAAAACAAATCGTTCACACCGAAATTTAAAATACAATACTTTCCAGTGTATATGCATTTTAAAGACACCACTGATCAAGTGCTACTGAAATAAACCCACAACACCCAGTGACAATGAGTAATTAATGCACACGTAACGGAATTTGCGCCATGAATACGACCTTAGTAGCATTACAGCGTAAAATGGCGCCGGCTTGTTATCAGCGGGCCTGTGGACGAACCAAGCAGATCATTAGGGACTTTTAGATTTGCGTGGACTGATACATGTGACGTCCATTCAAGACAGTGCATTAAAAGGTCGTCGATCGTAGCAATCCACGTTGTCGTTGTGCAAATCTAAAAGTCCCTGTCAAGACAAATAAACTCCCCGACCTCTTATACCCATGGAAATATGTTTGTAAAGAATTCCCACATTTTTAAATCAAATTTTGCCTTCTTAGAGATCAGTCATTGAATAATTAATGGGATTGTCAGTTATAAGTAAGCTTGTAACCTTTAAATAAGTGTAATTTCAAATTTGTTCCGTAAAAGAACCATGAAAAACAATCTATATGGGATCATTTTAACTGGTAGTTTAAAATTCCATTCTGATCTTGATAAGTCCATCGCTAGCTAGGTTTTCTTGTAACGGCCGATAGGAAAATTCCAATGTATTGCCTGTATGTTAACGATATCATGATTAAGTTGCAAGTGTATGCCTACCAAATGAATCTATCAACTAGAGATTGGATCATATAATAATATAAAAATAACAAGGAAAATGAAACCTGTGATGTTTTGTTTACTCTTTAAAACTACTCCTATCATACAGGCAAACAGTTGACCAAATAGGCCTAATTTTCACTTGCACATAAATATTATCTGAACATTCGCTCCGGTGAAAATTTCTCCGGGTTATCAAAGTATAGACTTCTGGTTTAAATTGTAAATGAGTTTTAGGTTAAGTTTAGGATTAGGTTAAGTATAGTGTTGGGAGTTCGCTTTATAGTGTAGAAAACAAGACGAGGAGTAAATTGTCGCAGGAACAAGATAGTGTCGTACAGATCACAATGGTCCCTCTACAATAGTGAGACATAATTAATTATGCAAATGAGGGTAACAATAACCAAAAATACTAAATATGAAGATTCGAATTTCTTACAGGTATACAATCATGAGCCGCTGCTGGGAGAGAGACGGCAGAAACCGTCTTAGCATCGACGGAATCGTAACGAACTTAGACCAAATCCTAGTCCAGACCCAAGATAGCCTGGTAAGAGTTTTCTATTATGAATTGTATGTTTTTCTTTTTTTTTATTTTTTATTTATGTATATGTCTTTCTTTTTTCATAGATGTAACCCATTATTATTATATTTATAATGGTAGTAGTGATAATACCAATAACAACAACAACAATAATAAAAACCAATAATAAGACCAATAATGATAATGATATTAGAAGTGATAAAAATAATAATAATAATAATGATAATGATATTACTACAATAATATTTATACTTATAATAAAAACAACTATGATAATAACGATAAGAATGATATTGATAACAATGCAGACATTAATAGAGAACAACATATCCACCAAAAGAATGCGTAAAGTGCTTCCAATAAACAGCGCAATAACAAAAAACACTGATGGAACTTACAATAAAACATATAAAACATGTTCAGGAGAAAACACTAGTACTTAGGTGTGCTTTCAGTGTATTCTTAAAGTCATCAACAGTCTCATTGGCTGGAATAACCCCAATGAAAACATTATCGTTGCTATGAAAATGATTATGATTACTCATAATAATCGATACCGTTATCATTACAAATAGTGTTATTCTTAACATTATCAGTGCCATCACTACTATTATCATTACCATCACCATTATCATTATCATTACTTTTATAATCATGATTATGATTCGTTTCGATATCGATATCATTGTTTGTGTCATTAATTAATACATTAAATATATCTACATTGGAATGAACCCATTGTTTATTATCAATTAGCTAAGTTACTTATCAATTTTTTGTTGCGTTTTTCCTTCTAGAATTACTTGCTTCTCAGCGATCTTGATAACGATACATACCACGCCTACTCTACCGTGGATTAAAGGCATGAATCCCAACTAAGGATTATTGATTAACCACAGGATTATCTGATTACCCAAATAACGCTTCAAAAACGATAAATACTGACGTTTACAGTGTACCTATGTCTTGCTTATTTGTTTCCTGATTAATCACAGGGTTTTTGTTTTTTAAAGGCTAAGTTTGTAAAGATTACTTGATGTTAGTATGAGTTTATCATAAACGAATTCATAAAATTAATGATCAATGATATACACTGTCGCTCATTAAGTTGGAATATTTTTGTTTTACCCCAATTTATGGAATTATTTTTAAAATAATTTAAAAATAATAGATCTAGATAATAGTATACATTATCAGATTTTATTGAATAATAATATGACAATGTGTGTTTTGCGTGACTGTTAAAGCATGTGTATGCTACTATGCTTATCAACTAGGGAATCCACGCTCTTAAGTCATAAATGACAGTAATGAGGATTAATGCCCCACAAAAGGGCACTTATATGGCACATCGACACGGTTTTGATCCAGAGGCCTCGCAGTTACGAGGCCATTGCTGTGTCACTGAACCATGACTGTACACAGCGGGGGCTAGGGTAGGGGGCAGTTTCCATAAATAAAAATAAAAAAGAAAAGAAAATGCAATAAATTTTCAATAATTTATTGCATTTTACTCCGGCTCCCAACATAAACAAATCCTCTGTGTGCGCATGCCTTGAGCCATAATGCATGGTTTTTAAAACAAAAATATTCCAACTATATGAGCGACAGTGTATTTTGAAAAGACTCATCGACGTGTTTGCTTCCGCTGTCTACATTCATGATAAATATTTAAAAAGAAGAATGATGACGATATATATGGATCTCTCTTTATTAATATATTCAGTTTCCACTGTAGTAGTTTTTTTTTTGTTATAGACTCTTGTGTATATTTGGTTTCTGATTTTGATTTTCTTTTCTTTGAGCTTTTATTACCAAAATTGATTTCACATACAAATTATATATGCAGTAAACATAGACGTATTCCGGTAAAAGGAAATAATACATGAGTGGAAAAATAATCTAGCTTTGGACTTTCAAAATGTTGCACGACCTCCGACCCATGATAACAAAACATGTTAGTATTATCATTGTGAAATGCAAAGTCAAATCATTATGACATACTCACAGATTACTCTTTATTTGCCACACTCATAATTTTATTGTGCTATAATTATTGTATATACCATGGTATTGACATACCAAGGGCGTCAGTATCATTTAAAGGGATCGTTTAACAATGTTAAATCTGAGATACACGGCCCTACGCGTTATCAGTGTCTGTGATATGGTGTAATATTGAAGCCCTAAAAAAAATTGCGCTTCAAAATGATCAAGAAGTGCCTCAAAAAAGTAAAAATCTTTGAGTGACCGGTTTTACCATACTCTTTTTCTCCAATAGACTGTAGTGTTATGAAAACCGTCAGGCAAACGGTTTTCAAAATTTGTAATTCCAATCATAAATATCTTGATAATCAGACAAGCAATCAGCTTGTAAAAGCCATGGGGTTCCTGACTGACCTAAAGGTTTATAATTATCATTGCATCATGAGCTAAATCCAGAATTTTGTTACAGAATCTGAGACAAAGTTACCGGATCCCTTTAAGTCTTTCAATTACAATACGATGTTAAATAGTTGTCATGGATCTGATCAAGACAGGAAATGGTAATTTAGTAAAACCAAGTTGCGATAAATTTGAGATACTCACAATTATTAAGACGGGGTCCTGGTCTTAGGTCTTAGGACCTACTCTCTGGACGGAATGCGAAAAAGAGCTAAAAGGGGTTGATTCGTCTTCTTCTAAATCTTTCTTTCCTTCATTCCTTCGTTCCTTTCCTTTCCTCCTTTCGTTCCTTCTTTCCCCAATACGGTGCTCCGCCAGTTAAATTGCATGTATATACTTGCTGATGTGTAGATTAAGTTAGCCAAATGTGTTTCTCGCTTTTTATTTTGTAACATAATACATCACATGTGATATGCAAATATTTGGTTTAATGATCATGTATGGTTTATTGCAATGGTGGCAAATAAATGTAATGGCCAGTACAATTTTGTGTGTCCTTCTCTTTTTTATGCCTAAACTGTAGGGTGTTTAAAGAGAAATCTAATCTTTAAATATGGGCTACTCTAAAAAGCAGAACAATAAGAGAATCAGAATAAGGACAGTTTTGATCGGATATAACATGAGAAAGTTATTGACTATTTAAAGTTGTAATATGGGCACTTCATATTGGCAGAATCGGTAGTGTCACTATGATGAAGTGCCGGACAACCTTCCCATTTGTTAACACACAGAATGATTAAAAATGTCAAGTTTTCAACATTTGTGAATCAGGAGGGTCTTTTCTTTTTAGATGACCTATACTTATCATGCTACCCCCAATATATTTCGATTAGTGCCCCAAGGAGAAGGCGCTAAGGGGAAAATAGAAACGTATGATATTTTTGTACACGACCAAGGGGAGAGTTGTCATGGATACGTCACAAATCACTGAACTCATTGCCAGTTTGAGATTCGCATAGATTTAGTGATCTCATATTTCAAAAACTCATTATCGTTGATATGATTTATTTCGAATTTTCACCATTACGATTCCCTTATCGTTCCGCTTTCAAACAAACGAACTTATAACGAAGGTTGGATTGCCCTTTCAAGCACAAGAAGAAAATACCGTGTAATGGTCCAATGTTATACCTGTGGAGGGGGAGGGGTGTATTCATGCCTCGCTGTGGAAAACTTTTCCTCGAGAGATTAGGAATAGCAGATCAGCAGAAGAGTAACAACAAATTCTTCAACAAATCTGTTTGATTAGACTATTCTTAATATTGTTATCCTTGTCAAATGATAGGCCTACTTTTGTGCATTTAAATTGTATATGCTGTTTCATTTTTTTGCACTAGTGCGCGTTGAATATTTTATTTTAAGTGGATTTGGCGCCTTACGAATCTTATCTCTCATACCATTGGAAATGATTTATAACCCAGTATTCCCCTACGATAATAATATGATGCTTGGCAAATTGTTACGTTATATGGGTGTAAATAATGCTTAATGTGTTTATATGTGGTTACCGTGGGTCACGTGTCCGTCATTAAGGCTCTGGATATTTGTTGAAATCAAATTTATGAAAATTACAGCATGTAAGATCAACAAAAAGTGCTTTGTGCTGGTTGTTTGTTCTAGATAAAACGACACAAAGTTTGTTTGAGGGTATATGTCTGTTATCGACCAAAGTTTGCACAAGTTTTATCGACAATTTTTTGTAGATTGTGTTTCGTTAGTTTTATTGCGAGTCAGGCTTATTTTTGTTTCAGCTTGTCTTCACTTTCTGTGTTTCTTGTGAATAAAAAGCGGAAACATGGCGGCGATCAAGTCACCTATTTCACTCGGTATAGGACTGCTATTCATCCTATGCTCTGTGCAGCATTCGTTACAAGGTACGTGATTTGTTAAACATTATAATTGCTTTTTCTTTGGCTATTTCGGGTTAACATTTCGTCATTTACAATAAAGGCTCATAAGACCTCCAGGAAATCAACTTATTAAACTCATATTGAAAAAACTCAAAGCTAAGTAGAAGTGTCGTAGACGAGTGGTTTAAGCACTTCATTTGAAATTCAAAGGTCGTGGTAATAATAAATCCCCGATACGGCACTAATGTTCTTTGGCAAGGCATTAATCTTCATTTGCCACACTCGACCCAGGTAAGGTAAATGGGTATATGGCAGGAATTAATTCCTTGAAATGCTAGAGCTATGTAATGGCTCATATAAAAGAAGATAGGATTATATTCACATTAATATTATATTAAATTTAATTCAGATTAATGGCCGATAGGCTAAAGCCGGGGTAATAATAAATGCGCCTCGGAATAGAATTCCTAGATAGACGGCACTATACAAATGCCTATTATTATTATTATTATTATTATAGGATTTCCCGGACAAATTCGCGAGTTTGTCATTCGAATTCATTTACTTTGCATTTAAGTTAGCGCAGATCAGCTTTGCCATGCCAATTATCATTCAATTTTCCCGATTTTGTATTTAATTTAGGATTTTGGTCGAATGATTTCATAGATCTGTCATTCAATTTAGAAACTACTCAACTAGCATTCAAATTAATCGTCACTTGTCGAGGCGTCATTTTTATATTTCAAATTAACACCTGTCATTCGTATTCGAATTATGTTTATTCAAGTTAGGAATGTTAGGGGGAAGAAATGCAACACACGTTTACAGCTTTAAAAAAATGCAATTAAATACATGATTTGCCATTGGGGTCTTTTCTGTTATTCAATTTATTAATTTTGAGGACAAAGCATATGTTTGTAGTCAGACATTAGGTAAAGAAGGGGCGAAATCAAGGGATATGGCATCTCTGAACGGACATGTTCATATACCCCGGAAAAGTGGGGATACAAATCCCCCTACCCCAGTCACAATATTGTACCCTTCCTCCATAATGAAATTGTGATAAATTTATGATAAAACACAAGACAAACAACTTCCTTACATGAACATTTCACAAATATTGAGACCATCAAGTCCGTAGATGTAAGTCTTTTTTTTAACAATCAAACTTAAAGGCTGATGAATATCTGATAAATCTAAAAGTATATAAAGAGTATAAATGCAAGAACATAAAATAGGATGAAATACACATGAAAAACGATCTTGAAAGAAAAAGAATGAGCTAGTATAAAAAGTGTTTAATAAACGAGAAATGTATATTGACCATTAAGTTTAGTGCACAAAGTGCTAATTTGAATGCTACAAATGAATTAGAATGCTAAAAGTACACCGTCGCGATGTCAGAAAATCGTGTTGCGCTAAATCGAATGACCAAATAGCGAAAGAAGCACTTTGTTCATTAATTGGAATGAAACATACATAGATTCTAACGAAAACTTCATAGATTTGAAATCTAGAAAAAGGAATATAAACCCGAGATATACCCGACAGCACTAAAACCGTCGAATTTGAACGCAAGACAAATGAATTTGAATGACAAGCTCGCGAATTTGGCCGGGAAATCCTATATTAAACGGTAATTTCAATACCCTAATAATAAAGTCATGTCCGGATTACGTCTGGAATACGAGTTCGCACATTTTTAAACTTGTTGCATTCAATTTCTTTTCGAGTCACCGAATTTTCTAAACATGCACATTCAAATTAAAGCTTGGTTCAGTCAATTGGGAAATGCGTAAGGGTCATTCAATTTCGCCAAT